GGCCGGGGGCTCGTCCGCTGCGGAGGCTCGTCCACTGAGGCCGGGGGCTGGTCCACGGCGGCCAGTGTCCACTCCGCGCCCCCACGCAGTGGACGAGCTGGGTGACCGCGCTGCGCTTTCTGGCCGGCGCGCGACTCAGGCCCCCAGCCTCGGGACGGGTCTCGGCGGGCTTGGGGGACGCTGACCCCGGGTGTCTGCACAGTGGGTCTGGGGTCTGGGGTCTCCCTGAGCCCCCCGAGTGTCCGCACCGCTCAGCAGGGGCTGGAGGCCTTCATCCCCCTGGGTCTGCACGGTCAGGGTGAACCTGGGGGACCTCGAGGCCGCAGGGCAGGGTCCCTGAGTTCCCTGTGCAATTCCAGGTGAGAGGCCGGGCCCTGTGCGCCCATCTGACAGGTGGGCAAACTGAGGCCAGTGAAAACGCTCCCGTGGTCACGCTGCGGGAACCGGACGTTGGGCCGGCGATCGCGGCCTCTCCTCCTCCCTGGTGGCCGGCACAGCCGCTCCGGGCGGTCACTGGGACGGGGCGCTTTCCCGGCCAAGGGCAGCCTCTGCCTGATACAGTGACAGCCTTAACCCAGGCCTGGGCTTGGCTGACCACGCTGTGTCCCAGCCAGGTCTCCACCGGAGTGACCCTTCACCCCGTACCAGAGGACAGAGTGGCCAGGCTGGGGGGCCAGGAGGGCCTTTGGGGTGTGGAGGTGACCGGTCAGCCAGGGTGGAAGCGCCATGGCCGCACTCGGGCTGAACGGAGCTGTCTGCGTTCTGTCCTCTTGGTGGCCGCCCGTCCGCAGAGACCCTTGTTAGTTGGCATGGAGTTGCCCCAGCTCTTGTGATGACCCCTCGGGCACAGTGCAGAGCTGTGGCCTTTGGGGGTTTTACGGTGTGACCTTTCGGGAGATCGCCAGGCCGTCCTGGCGAGTGGCCTTTGGCTGGTTTGAACCACCAGCCTCTGGACTAGCAGTGGAGGACTTGCTCACCTTAGCTGTGTGCTGGGGTTCCGAGCCCTGGCTCAGGGTGTCTGCTGTAGGGGGGTCCCACAGTCCCCTTCAGGCCTTGCTGGCACGTCCTGGGGAACCTCACTTGGTTAGATGCAAGAGTCCGGGACGAAGGGGCACTGGAGGGAGGGCTGGCCATGGCCGCACGCCCACCTCCCTGCCCAGCAGGACACAGTGCCTTGGGGAGAGCTGGGAGCTGGCTGGGGCCCTGGCAAGGTCAAGGTCGGGCTTGGGCCAGCTCCCCGAGCTCCAGGGCTTGGGAGGAGGGAGTGCTTCATGGTCTCCCTGTGGCCCCTCAATGTTTTTCTCCCCCCAGGCCTTCCCTGTGGGGTCCTCTACCTGCAACCCTGACCCCTGGTGTAGGGCCTCCCTCCACAAAGAGCCTCCAAGGAGCTGCTTGGGTTGAGTCCTCTCTGCTGTGTGGACAGCGTTGGGGACATTGGGTCCTCTGCTATGTGGACAGCGTGGGGGCCCTGGGTCCTCTCTGTGTGGACAGTGTAGTGTGGGGTCACCATGTCCTCTGTAGTGTGGACAACATGGGGGCCACCAGGTCTTCTGCTGTGGGGACATTGGGTCCTCTGCTGTGTGGACAGCGTGGGGGCCCTGGGTCCTCTCTGTGTGGACAGTGTGGGGTCACCATGTCCTCTGTAGTGTGGACAACATGGGGGGCACCAGGTCTTCTGCTGTGTGGACAGCGTGGGGACATTGGGTCCTCTGCTGTGTGGGCAGCCTGGGGGACCCCAGGTGTTTTGCTATTTGGATGGCATGGGAGCCTCTGGTCCTCTGCTGTGTGGACAGCATGGGGACATCGGGTCCTCTACTGGGTGGACGGCGTGGGGGTCCTGAGTGCTTTTCTATGTGGACGGCATGGGAGCCTCCAGTCCTCTGCTGCTCTGCTGTGTGGACAGTGTGGGGACCCTGGGTCCTCTGCTTATTGAATGATGTGGGGGCTCCCACCCTCTGCTGTGTGGACAGTGTAGGGGACCCCCAGTCCTCTACTGTGTGGACAGATTGGTGGGGCCCTGGTCCTCTGCTGTGTGGATGGTGTATGGGGGCCCCGACCTCTCCTGTGTGGACAGTGTAGGGGTCCCCCGACCTCTGCTCTGTGGATGGCGTGCGGGGCTCTAGTCCTCTCTCTTGTGTGGATGCAGTGAAGCCACTCTCTCTGCCTGGGAGGCTGCTTCCCCCAGGGCAGGGGGACAGGGCTCTGCGCGAGTATGTCTGAGCCCCTGTGGGTCCCCAGCCCAGAGCCTGGCCTGGTCCTGGTGGTCTCTGGTTTGCTGACTCAGCTTTGTCCAGTGCCATGGGGCACTCAGGGAGCCAGGCCTCACCAAATAAGCTTCAGGGAGACTGGTGACCAGGGCACTTGAGCTGCCGCCTGCCCCACCCAGGTGCACATGCGGGCAGGGTGGCCGAGGCCAGGGCGTGGCCGTTCCTTCTGGCCTTCAGAAGGGAGGTGGTGTTGGCTTCTGTCCTGAAGGACCAGTCAGAACACAGTCTGACACAGGTGGGGAGTCCGTGGACCCGAAAACCTCCCACCAGCTTGAGAATTCTCTAGAAGCTTCCTCGAGTCCCTGGAGGTGGTGGTCTTCTTGGTCAGCCAAGGGCATGGAGGGTGAGGCCTGGGAGGGGACAGGCGCACCTGGAAGCTGCATGGGGCACACAGCGCTCCTGAGCGCAGAGATGGGGTTAGTGAGGTCAGTGACTGACCTGGACCCTGGGCTTGGGCGCCTTGACGCCGTGGGGAAGGGCTGTAGCGAGTGTCCCCCGGGCGGGCTGCTCCGTCACACAGCGTCCCCCTGACTTGGAGTGGACCCCGTGGTTACTGGCTTGGTTTGTGTGTGTCCCAGCCATCTGCCCCTCACTGTCCCCACCCTTACCTCCACAGCTCCTGGCCTGCTCCGCCTCCAGATCCTTGGCCTACGGTGAGTGCCCAGCGCCTGCCAACCCAAGGGTTGTGGGATGAAGACCTGTGTGACCCCAAGAGGAGCCACCAGCTTGAGTCACATGTGGCTCCCGGGCAGATGGTAGATGGTCCTCGGGGCCACACACGGGTCCAGAGCAGATGTGAGCAGATATTCCTCAGGGGCGCACAGCCGGTCTAGGGCAGATGTGGGCAGATGTTCCTCGGGGTCACATGTTGGTCCAAGGCAGATGTGGCATTTCCTGGTCAGTGGTTTGGGGTTCCTCGCAGGCCCCATCTGCGTTGGCAGAGGCAGGCCGGCCAAGGCCCCATGTGCACATCTGCCTGGCCCTGCACCCCCAGAATTTATATAAGTCACAGCTCAGGAAGGCAGTGGGAGCCCATCCCAGGCGGTGGGCTTCAGGCTCCTCAAGCCAGACAGACAGATGCCCATGCCACCGAGCACCCTGAAACCAAGGGCTCAGCCGCAGAAACCAGGGCAGAGCGTTCCCCAGTGGACATTTGGAGCCTCCAGGAAGGAACATATTGGGGCTGCCTTTGTTCTAACTATGGACGTGTGGCTGTAAATCAGAAGAACAGATGGTACAGGACAAAACGACAGGTGGGGGACTCAGGGCAGCCCGGGGCCCAGAGGAGAAACACCCCTGGCTTTGCAGGCCACACGCGGTCTTGGTGACTGGCCTACAGACACCACAAGAAACAGCAGGATCCAGTGTGCAAACCAGTGGCCGTGGCCACGGGCCAGGAAAACTGTTTGCAGACACATGGAGCTGAGTGCCGCTGGCCCTGCCGTCCAGCCCTGCCCTGCGTCCCTGCACTACAGGGGCCTGGGGTCCACCGGAGTGCGTGACCACAAGGGGCCATAGGTCAGCCCGGAGTGCTTGACCGCAGGGGCCTGAGGTCCACCCAGAGTGCTTGACCACAGCCTGAGGTCAGCCCAGAGTTGGGTGACCACGGGGAGCCTCCACCAGCGTGCAGTTCCAGAACCGTCGTGAGCCCTGCCCGACTATCTCTGTGGTGTATTTGGGAAGAGATAGGACTAAGGTCGGCAAGCGTCAGGGTGTGGGACTGCTCGCGCTCCGAGGGTCCGGCCGGTGGCCTGAGTGCCAGCTGCGGCCCACACGGTGCGTCTGCAGGTGGGGATGGGCAGGTGTGAGGGTGGTATTGTCAGGATCCGTGCTCAGCAGGGTGGGCACCTCCTGGCCACGTGAACACTTGGGTCCCTGACTCTAGTTTTCCTTCTGACAGCTTTGGCACTGGTGCAGCTGTGCGGGCCCGAGACGTCCACCAGAGCCCAGCCGCCGACCGCCCGAGCAGGTGAGGCCTCCTGGCTTGAGGCTGTGTACTTGACCTCATGGTCCCTGCCCTCAGCCTGCCCAGGCCCCTGCAGCCCAGGCCCCGGCTGCGTCACGTGGTAACACAGCCAAGCTCACAGCCATGCCTTCTTTCATGCTTGACCCCAGCTGGGTGCTACAGGTCCGGTGTGAGCCTAGGACTGCCCAGCGCCGTGCTCTGTGACATGGGCCCCAATGTCCCCCTCTGAGACACTGCTCCAGCCAGGCCCCAGGGACAGGGTGGTAAGGTGGCCACACTCTCCTCACCTGTCACCCTGACCAGTCAGCACTTCTCCATGCCCAGTGCCCAGCCCTCAGTGCCCAAGGCCGGAGCCGTGGTCCCCAAGCCCGCTGCGTTCCCAAGCAGCCGCGGAGAGTATGTAGTGGCCAAGCTGGACGATCTCATCAACTGGGCCCGCAGGGTAAGCCCCTCGTCAGCGCGGTGTCCGCCCTGCTGCCACGTGTGGGGCTGTCTGTGAGCCTGTGTGCACCCAACACACACACCGGCTGTGCGTGTGTGTGACGCTCTTACACACAGGTGTGAACGCAC